GATCAACTGGGGATCATGTTAACTGGGGACGCGCGCGTGCACGCAGACAGTTTTACCTGGATTTCCAGCAGATGTTAAACGGTGACAGATTCGTCACAGCTATTTTTTCACTGAGCAGATTTCCAAAGCTTTCCATTTTATTGTTAAATGTTTGCATCATATTTTGGCTCTGATGTTTACTCTGCGCTGCTCCGCTGTATGTTTCAGACGCCTTTAAGGGAAGTTTTAATGTGCTTTAATTTCGCGACACACAGACCACGCCCACATTATTTTTTTACATTAGTTTCAATAAAATTTGTATCTGATGACAACTGTAAATATATTAAATAAATTATACTATTGACATTGTGTATTTGCAGTGCTTGTGTATTCGCAGATTATTGTTATGATGCCAATTTGTGGCTTAATTAAAATTGAGCAGCAATACTGCTGTGGTTAAAGGGACATGTCAAGCATTTATTTATTTATTATTTATGAATTTTAATGTTTCTGAGGAATGAGTTAAAACATAAAGCATACAGTACACTCCATAAATGTTCATAAAGAGTGGTGAAAATTGATAAGCCATAGCTTATGGATCCAGTGATTTACCCACAGCATTTATAGGGAATGTTCAACAAACATATTCATTAGCTAACTGTTAGCTAATGAATATGTTTGTTGAACATTCCCTATAAATGTTAAACAGACCTATGAAAGCAACAAAAGAAAGAAAAAAATAGGCAAATGTGCATGCATGCAGCCAGGACAGCTTTTTTGCCATCTGTGAAGGTCTGACCACACAGTCTCACCTTCTGAACATTCAATCTAAGGAAGGATGAACAAACTATAGAATAAGTTAGAATTACATGCTAATGAAGAACAGTTACTTGTTTTGCAATGTGTATAATTTTTTCTTACCCATTGGCCAGTTTGGCCTTACTGCTCTCCATCTCATTTAAATCATGGTATATTAGAAAATAAATGTCAGTTGTATTACCTTTCTATAGTAAGAGCAATTTAACACACAATCACCCTTCACTGAGAAATGTTCACATCTCCTCTTAGTGTTCCTTTATTGAGCAGCTGCCAAATAATGGTTATCCTACAAAGTTTTTGATTTGTGTAACTTTAATTGCATCAATTTGCTGTGGTAGTCTATGGCCTAACAACAATGACACCAGTAACAATAATGACACTTAATTTATAGACCTTTTGAGCACTGGCATAATTTATATTACATAAAAAGTTGCCCAAACACATTATATTTTATTTATAAAACTCATAGACTAGTCTGTAATATTTATTTTGTTAAAGATGTCAGCAAGTAAACAATAAAGCATTTCGTATTGTTTTAGAGAGGGTCATGACATTCATGTGAGGTGACAAATGATTAAGAGGTTAGTGATGTAGGTGAAAATTAGACATAGGCTAGAGAATATCAGGCCTATATATTTGTAATAAGTCATCATCACAATATCATATGTTCTGCTTATTTCAGTAATACACTCTGTGTTTTTCACAGGACTTTAATCACTAAAGACAAAGTGTTCTCTAAATGTCCAATACAAGACTAGCTACACAACATTCAAGTTTATGCTACTGAGCATAATGTACAATGTTTGAGCAACTTTGCATTTCAAGGTACACATTCTAAAGTCTCATAAGTTCTTGCTTTCCCTGGGAATTGAACCCACAACTCTGGTGTTGCGCGCTCAACACTCTACTGTTTGAGCTACATGAATGCTCAATTCCATGTTTTGATTGATCAAATGATTACATGCTTATACAAATATGCAGTAGGCAATACAAAATTGTTTTGAAAGAAACAAAGAAATTATTTTTTATTTTATGAATCTTTTGAAAATGTTACATTAAGTTCATGAGATAATTAACTTCGTGATATAGATGATATGGACGCGTCACAGCTGGTTGTTCAAAAAAGAGATCTAAATATCATAAGAGTAAAATAAGCTGATAAGATAAAAATAATTGATCCATTATAAAATTAGGCTATATATGAAGAGTTCAGATGCAAAAGCCTCTAAGTGCCAATTGAAATGTTCATCTTGAATGATAATTTTTATCAAGCTTGTATATTTAAGTTCAGTAATTTCACTTAAATGGCAATGATAATTACCTATTAATTTTATTTTTTATTTTTTATTTAAGTGAAATTACTGAACTTAAATATACAAGTTTGATAAAAATCATCATTAAAGAAGAAAATTTCAAATGGCACTTAGAGGCTTTTGCATCTGAACTCTTCATATGCAGATCGAAAAATGCAACTTGTTGAAAAAATGTAAATGACTTTGCAATTTATGTTTCTTTTAGGTAGCCTACTTTAACTTAATCTAACGTTACATCTGTTGTTATTTGTGATTAGAACTCATGACAACACAAGTGCGCTGACAAGTCTGTTCATCCAATGAAAGCGAATGACCCTTGTTAACATGGGCGTGGTTTCTGAGCTTGACACTAAAGTATGTTAAACTTCTTTGAAAATGCGTCAAATACAAAGGAATATCATACACTGCAAAAACAAAGCGCTTTATTTGCATACCGTGTACTGGTAACTGGTGAAATATTCGTTTTTATCGGTGAAAAATAGGGCACGAATCTGTCGCTGTTAACATCTGCTGGAAATCCAGGTAAAACTATTTGCGTGCACGCGCGCGTCCCCAGTTAACATGATCCCCAGTTGATCCGTAACACCGGTTCGTGAACGAATCGTTCTTTTGAACCGGTTCTTTTTAGTGAACCGGTCGAACCAGTACACTAAATCGGACTGAATCGTTCGAAACAGTTCGCGTCTTGCGTCAGCGCTAAACCACAAGTTACTAAAGTTACTCACTTTCAGACATGCCTGACAGTCCCTCCGAATCGAAATAAACCAATATCCAGAAGTACATTTTATTCCAGTAACTCAAAAAGTTCACTGAACGGAGACATATGTTGGTGCTGAGAGAAGTGATGAGCACGAGCAGCTGATACTGCGCATGCGTGTACTACCGAACGTACAGATACAGCGGTCGGATAACCAGTACAGAACCGAGAAGAACTGTTTCTTTCGAACACGTTCGACATATTGAGAACTGATGAGTTGATGAGCTGAGCATGCGTGCATTTTTTTTCTGAGGGACGAAATGTACGTTTCCACGTCTTTAGTTGAACATCAGTAATAAGTGTAACAAAATAAAACATTTTGGAAACATGTTTATCCCATTACTGTATCACTGTATTATTTTAACGATTGGAAATAATGATTGGATTCTAAAACTGTCAAACTACTAAACATTTATTATTATACTAAAATAATATTTTCAGGAACAGCTCATTTAATTTCTAAGTAACAATATTATAAATCTTTGATGTAAACTCTTGCCAAGGTTTGGTGCACTGCTTAGTAAATGTTTATGTGTTAACATAACGAATTAAACATATATGTTTAACGAATTAAACATATATGTTTAATTCGTTATGTTAACACATTATAAACATGATGTATACTGTTACTTATATAGGCTACAGGCTATATTGGAGACAGACATGCATCGATTTTTTAGTTTTGTCGACTGTATATTCAGGTTTCAGCTCAGCACAGGCCTATGCTATGGTTCTCGAGTCGAGAACTGGTTGTTGCAGCTCTTGAATCACTAGTGCAGAACCGAGAACTGTTTCTTTCGGACACGTTCGATACGGAGAACCGATGAGCTGGAGATACTGCGCATGCGTGATAGCACCGTCTCTGAACAGAACTTTCTTTCGGCCGGCTGATCCTGTGCTGATATACGAGCACGCAGTAGTACGGGTGAACCCAGGACTTAAATGAGAGGGCGAATCGGCGAAATGTAAGTTTATTTAATAACAAATAAAATGATGAAGACCATTTAAGCATTTTATATATTTAAAACATGTAAAACATCCGCGTTAGCACATCGACTAGGCTGCAGCAGGGTTCGTTTTCAAAATGTAAATGTAAGAAACTTATCCAAGATGATTATGACAATGCATACTATTATTTAACTGAAGTTGTGATTACAAATGCCTTTAATTTGAAGTATTTTTGTCCGCCGGGATGATAGAATTGACGTCATTACGTGATGACGTAAAAGAACTGGTGAACCGGTTTTTTGAACCGGTTCATTAAAACGAACTGTCCGAAAGAACCGGTTCGCGGAAAAGAACCGGACTTCCCATCACTAACTACGAGGACAAGCTGGGGAACTGTCCAAAACAACGACGACACTCTGTTCCGGTCACGTGACCATTACAAAACTGCACGGTTGAACTTTCTCCAAAGGACCGCTAGGTGTCAGTGCAGACCAACCGAACACTCAAATCGTTTCGGAGGGCAAAATGTGGTAAAATGATTGTTTGAACAATAATTAACTACCTAAACTAAAACACATAAACTAAGAATGAACAATATGCCTACTTCTACAGCATTTATTAATCTTAGTTAATGTTAATTTCAACATTTACAGCATTATTCAAAATCAAAAGTTGTAATTTAGGCTATGCATGTGAACTAACATGAACAAACAATGAACGGTTGTATTTTTATTAACGAGTATTGACAAATACTAATAAGTAGCCTACTGCAACAAATGGTTTGCTCGTTGTTAGCACATGTTACATTAAAACTAATGTTAACAAATGTGACATTATTGTAAATTGTTACCTCAATATGTAAAAATGATACTTTATTTCGTTAAAATTATCCATTAAATGATTGCTGATTGATCATAAATGATTAATGAAACATAATGATTAAATTAAATCAAATAATAATAAGTTTTAATAGAATGCGATGCAATGTTGCATGGAATGTTCATGAGCAACATCTTAAAAAATATATGTATACATGTAGGCATAAATATATATATATATATATATATATATATATATATATATATATATATATATATATATATACACACACATATATAGGCATTAGTGGTTCAGTATTTTGCATTTACCGAATTTAAAAAACAAACAACAAACAAAAACAATGAGAACACTTTTTATATTAACATTTTACAAACATATTATCATGTATTAAACATATAAAGAAATGTCCAGACACAATTGTGAACTAAGGATAAACATATAAATCAATATTTTAATGAATACAGGTCAAAATTATACATTCTATATCAATTAATAATAAAGTTATAACAGGCTAAATCATGGATGCTGAAATGTTCCATGAAATGTTCTTAAACAACATCCACGTTAAAAAAACAAAACAAAACAAAAAAAAAAACAGTATAGGACTAAAGTTGCAGACTACAAGTGAAAAGAGGTTCGGATACCAAGAAATAGTGAAGAATCATAACTATCTCTTATTCACTATACAGTATATAACATAAATGTTATTCATTATACAGTATATAATTTTTCTTATTCTTAATCACAAATTTTACATAATGTTTTCATATATGCTTATATTCAAAATCCTAAAACGTATCACAGTACCAAAATATAGTAATTTAAATTATTAAATGCTCATGCCACTCTTGATGTAATAATTTGCATCTACAAAGCTTGAGCTTGAGGAACATTTATTAAATTGTTCAGTTGACATTCAAAAGGGAGAGAAAAAAACAACATTCTGACGACTCGCCGCCTTAAAAGTCTTTTCTGCATCTACCCAGATGATGGGTTTTGCTCATTCATATTTGCAATAGTGTTTAAGTAACTCCGGAAGTTCCAACCAGTCCAAAGCCATTCTGTGAATGATGTGTTTCTGAATTGTCTTTCGGCAGAGCGTCTGCAATGAAGAAACTGAAACACAGGGGTGGAGACAGGAATCATTATAGTCTGTCATACAATAATAATATCAAATCATATTAGCAAGTAAAAATGAAACTTACAGCCATATTCCACCTGGACAATCCGAACACATTTAGTAGCTGCAAATACATCCACAACAGCATACAGTGGCTTATCAGTGGGGATCCTCTTGGCAGAGGCTCCCATATCCTCACCATTGATGATAATGTGCATGTCGCCATACCCTTGTCCCTTAGGTACATGGACAACCCCTATCCGACTGCGGCGGGCAGTTGGGGGTAAAGCATTGGTTTTGTACAGATCATCCAGGATGTGACTGTACCTCCCCGGTCGACTGCGTCCCACCAACTTGTCTCTTGGTATGCTCATGTTTTCTACATACAGATGAGTGTCTGTAAAAAATGTTCTAGGCTTGTTTCCTGCCTCATCATCTATATTTGGCTGTTCGCCACCCTCTTCTCCTCCATCCTCAATGACTTTGTTGTGGTTTCTTGTTATTGCGAACACCCAGCTGTCTCCCATTTCCACAAGATCGGGCAGAGAGTATTCTGGCACAGTTTCCAGTGTTCGTGGGTCAAGGGCGGTAAGTCCAATCCTTAAATGACCACACCAACCCAGTTCTTTCTCTTCAATCTCCACTAGGAAGATCTCGCCTGGGCTTAAAGGGTCTTTACTGAAGCAGACGCCATTTGCAAAGCTTTCTACTCGCGTGGCCTGAGTCCTCGAGGGGTCCAGTTTCACATTTGTCCCATGAACTGAGTGAAATTCCATAAACTGACCAAAAACAGCTGCCATTTTGACAGTTCTTTATACAAGTTAAATAAAACAAGATACGTGAAATGCTTTACAAGCCTATAAAACAAATGCACTAGATACAACGAGTCAGACGAAGCAGAATATTTACATTATCCTCAGTGTTTGCTCTCCTCTTCTCTGGGTATAGTCCTTGTCTTTTTAGCATATACCTCCACTATGGTATCCTTGTGGCCTGGGCAAGTTTCAAGTCCTGAAAGGCAGACTATTTTTGACCTGCTGCATGTGGCATTGGTGGTTTTAAATAGCTGGTAAGATATGCTGAGTGAAGAATAACTGGTAGGAGTTTTAGTCTTCAGAGTAGAACTGCGCATTGAAAATTCTCCAAATTTTCACAGATTTGTTTTGTTAGAGGTCATAGTGTTGAAACAAATTCATAAGGAAGTACAAAGTGAGCTTGCATGTGTATCTTTTAACATGCATCTTCTCAGTACGGAGAAAGCTGTGCTAAAACAGTGCCAAATCTTTATCTGGGCCAAATTGTCCTCTTTTACCCCACCTCAGTACAGTCTGAGATAAAGAAATATTAGAAAGGACTCTGAGACAGGCTGCATTGTGAGAGTTTTAAAGTCCCTGTAAAGGCAATTCTACAACACCAATTCTGACACCAACAGAAAACACTAGTTTACCAGAGTTTAAAGCAGCATGTTTGCAACAATAACACAGTCAAACAGAATGTAGCTAAGCGCTGTGTGTGCATGTGAAGTTGTGTGTGTGCGTCACACGTTAAATGTTTTAGAATGTAGCACAACATTCAAATGCAAATATGCGCCCTCCCCCACTTGAAAGGCCGTGTGTCTACCAAAGCGCTTTTTCACACGCCTGGCGTATACGTTTTCAATTGTTTTCAATTGTTTTTTCGCCGCGTTTTTTTAAACGCCATGAGCGTAATCAAAGCAGCTCCTGAGATTAGGCTGGCGTTTTTAGTATGTCGTTTTTTCTTCGAACAAATCAAGAACAATATTGGCTATAGGCTACAAATTGAACATTTTTTGTAAAACTTTAAAACTTGCCTTTACTTTTCTTGACGATTCCTCGGTAGCTTTTGTTTGAAGGCACAATTGCTCCAAAAACACTAACGTTAGAAACATAACTGCACTTTATCACAACGGATTAATAAACCGTACCCACGAGTTCCTAATCCGTGCTCTCAGATTTTTAAACCGTGCCCTCAGTTTTTGCAATCTGTACCCATTCATAAACCGTGCCCACGCTTTCGCAATCCGTACTCATGCTGCGTTCGTGTGCTATGGTAATTATGGTAAAAACCAAAAGCCGACGTGGAAAATGCACATGAACACCCCCTCATGTGGTATTTTCTACTGGGCAACTCGTAGAATATTTTGACGGACGAGTTGCCGAGATGAGATAACCTTTGAACTTTTCAAAATGGCGGAGAGCACCGCAAGAGTCGTGAATGGTAAAAATATATACTATGAATTCATGATCTAGAAAATATATAGCATATTATTTACCTTTTGAGTTTTGCTGTTGCAGATGACTTAAGCAATCTAAAATAGTTTTAGCTAAATAACAGGTCTGGATCTCCATCTTTTACCACATTACGACAACAAAAGCACTTGAACGCAACACACTGGTAAATACCAATTCACAAGTGGAAAATATCCTACTTTTCATAGCACGTGAACGCAGCATCACTCACGGGTTTGTAATCCGAACTCACAGATTTGTGGGTCGTCCCCCAGTGTGCCGCATGATTCAACCATGGCCTCCTTTTAGATACGGGAAGCATTGCATTGTTTTCAAAATCCTTTTTTTAAAATGGATAATTTCTTGCATTTAAAAAAAAACAAAAAACATTTAGGATACTTTTATCTTTAAAGTAAATTTTAAGAGGAAAAAGCTCAGTAATAAGCGAAAAAAAAATAATAATAATAACAGTTCAAAAATTTTAAAAGGTTTGGTTATAAGTTATAAATTATTTTATGTTAAATATATATTTCTGTCTTCGGTGAACTCATTCATAGTAATAAACGCAAATAATAATTAGCTATCAAATCAAAATGCATTTAGGCTATAGGCCTATTTAGAAGACGCTTTTATCCACAAAAAAAGAACAAAGCAATTCGTCAAATGTCAGTCTTAGACAATAATAATGGGCTAAGATTCTAACAAACAAACACAGGTTTTTAACGCATATCCAACTGTTTGTGTGAAGCACGCACGTCACTGCCGCGGCCGCAAACACTGGCATGTTCCTATCAACAGAGGAACAATTTAAAATAATCTAGCATTTCTGGTCATACGGAAAAAAAATACATAATACATAATACATTATTTGCAACTACTTTCATTTGTGTAAACTCACAATAACAAGAAAACGTTCTCACTCTATATGGTTCCCGAGACATGCTCTTCTCATTTAGCACTGTGGGCAAAATATAGTTTTTAGAAAGTAAAATCTATTTTTTTTTTCATATTAATTTGCAAATATTTTAAATGTTTACAGTTTTTTTTATTCGCTTTGGTACTATTTTCACAAGTAAGGTGTACATTTTCAAAACTCTTAGTGCTAATATCACAACAGATCATCAAAAGTGCACTTTTTTCAAACATTTCATCATGTTTTCAACTGTGTTAGTACAATTCATACAATCACAAAGTATTCTTTTCACAACACAAAATAAGTGTTTCATCTACATTATTGTTTCATTCACAGTAACTGCCTTTCATAAAGCTCTTACTATCAAACTTTTGATTTGCATCTCTTTTTGTTCAGTTTAATACTTTTGTCTATTATTTAATCCAACAGATCTTAATGGTTAATCAATTAATCATTTGGTAAACCTATAGATTTTCATTTCAGCAATATACAGTATATGGATTTTGAGAACTACAGAAATAAAATGTGTGTTTGTATGAATATTTAAATTACATGTAACCAGTAACCACACATGATGAATACTCGTTATAGCTATTTTTATTTTTTATTTTTTCACAATTTTTTTCACAGTCTGACCACAATTGGCCACTATGTACTGTAATGTGTGCACTAAATGTTATGTTTTGTTCTTCTTTAGTTACATTTCATTATAGAAAGTATACCTATAATTATATCTGAAAAATAAAAAGTATAATTTGCCTAAATGATTGTAAAGGATGTCTTCATTGATCCTTCATTTGATTAGGCCTACATAAATGATGGATATTTGGAAATTATAGATTATGTAAATGTTGGGTACTGTAAGTATATTGCCTAATGTTACAGTAAAACTGTGTAATCTGTCTTTTATAGTACTGTAGCATATTCATTTCAGCACTTCTAAGGCCGATTTGAAACATGTATCTTGCATTGTTTACTGTTGGATGAACTGATTGTTAAAAGTACTAAACTGAAAGAAGATCATATTGTTGTGTTTCAGTGATTAAACCAAATGTTCTCATTACATATTACAATATTCTTGTGTTTGAAATAATTATTATGTGGACTGAAAACATGTGCAACTGACTGAAAGCATTACATCAGGTTTTGAAAGAATGACTAGCTGCGTTACAAGTGTGATCAGTTTGGATTTTTGTACTAAGAGTTTTGAAAATGTACACCTTACTTGTGAAAATAGTACCAAAGCGAATAAAAAAAACTGTAATAAAGGCAAAAATTCAATGTTATTTATTTTTTTGTGCACAAACACTTGGATAGCATATGCGTCAAAATCTTGTGTTTATTTGTGATAATCTCAGCCCTGTTTTATTATTGTCTAACCTGTATTATGACTGACATTTGACGCTTTGTTTCATGCTTTGTTTCTTTTTTGATAAAAGCGTCTATCTAAATATGTAGCCTAAATGTAATAATAATAGCATAGCCTATTATTATTATTAGGCCTATTATTTGCGTTTATAACTTTAAATGAGTTCACTTAAGACAGGATCTATCTATCTCACCTATAATAAGCTATCTGTCTATCTATCTATGCCCACCACCACCCCTTCAATAGGAAGGACTCTATCTATCTATCTATCTATCTATCTATCTATCTATCTATCTATCTATCTATCTATCTATCTATCTATCTATCTATCTATCTATCTATCTATCTATCTATCTATCTATCTATCTATCTATGCCTACCTCCTTCACATGGACTATCAATATATCTATATGCCTACCTATCACCTATAATAAGCTGTCTGTCTATCTATCTATGCCCACCACCACCCCTTCACTGGGAAGGACTCATCTATCTATCTATCTATCTATCTATCTATCTATCTATCTATCTATCTATCTATCTATCTATCTATCTATCTATCTATCTATCTATCTATCTATCCATCCATCCATCCATCCATCCATCCATCCATCCATCCATCCATCCATCCATCCATCCATCCATCCATCCATCTATCCATCTATCCATCTATCTATCTATCTATGCTTACCTCCTTCACTTGGACTATCAATCTATCTATATGCCTACCTATCACCTATAGCTGTCTATCTATCTATGCCCACCACCACCCCCTTCACTACATAAGAAGGAATCTATCTATCTATCTATCTATCTATCTATCTATCTATCTATCTATCTATCTATCTATCTATCTATCTATCTATCTATCTATCTATCTATCTATCTATCTATCTATCTATCTATCTATCTATCTATGCCTACCTCCTTCACATGGACTATCAATATATCTATATGCCTACCTATCACCTATAATAAGCTGTCTGTCTATCTATCTATGCCCACCACCACCCCTTCACTGGGAAGGACTCATCTATCTATCTATCTATCTATCTATCTATCTATCTATCTATCTATCTATCTATCTATCTATCTATCTATCTATCTATCTATCTATCTATCTATCTATCTATCTATCTATCTATCTATCTATCTATCCATCCATCCATCCATCCATCCATCCATCCATCCATCCATCCATCCATCCATCCATCCATCCATCCATCCATCTATCCATCTATCCATCTATCTATCTATCTATGCTTACCTCCTTCACTTGGACTATCAATCTATCTATATGCCTACCTATCACCTATAGCTGTCTATCTATCTATGCCCACCACCACCCCCTTCACTACATAAGAAGGAATCTATCTATCTATCTATCTATCTATCTATCTATCTATCTATCTATCTATCTATCTATCTATCTATCTATCTATCTATCTCTATCTATCTATCTATCTATCTATCTATCTATCTATCTATCTATCTATCTATCTATCTATCTATCTATCTATCTATCTATCTATCTATCTATGTGTAGGAATGATGTAAAATGTTTCTCCCAGCCTTAGGGGGGAGCTGTGTTCTATGAGTGTTTCACTGTGT